GGTTTGACCTAATTAGATTTCTCTTGAGTCTTGTGAAGCCAGCTCCTCATGGAGAGCAGACGCTTCGCCTGACTTTGATGGGCATCCACCTCCGTAGTGACTGGACACCCTGTGCCCTGTTCGAGGGGCCCCGGGAACCTCTTTGCCCTGCAGGGAACATATGTGATACCTGATCTCCCTCATTTGAAAGTCAGTGTTTCTTTAGGAAATGCAGTATCCGTACTTATAGTTATTTATTTTTGAAGATTTAATTATTTGAGAGAGAGAGGGAGAGAAAGAGGGAACACACATGCACAAGCAGGGGGTGAAGGCAGAGGGAGAAGGAGAGAGGATCCCAAGCAGACTCCCCGCTGAGCACGGAGAATGATGCGGGGCTTGATCTTATGACCCTGAGCTCATGACCTGAGCCAAAATTAAGAGTTGGACAGCTAACCGACTGAGCCACCCAGGTGCCCCCACACTTATATTTAAAGAGAAATTAAAAACACTTCCAATACTAAAGTCCGTTCCATCCCAGGGTTTCTTGTTCAGGACGGCAGCCCAGAACCTGAAAAGACAAGCAAATGTCTGCTCAGCTTGCCCCTGAGAGCAGTACGGACGAGAGACCAAGGCCCCCGAGGAGAAGGGTGGATCGAGCGGAACAGGGCCCTCTTCATTCTGCAGGAGGACAGGAGGGACCAGACGCTTGGGGGGGGGGGGGCATCCCCCAGGGAGCAGAGGACCTGTTGGCTAAAAGGAAGGTTTTAATCACACAGGAATGAAGCCTGTTGAGTGACAAGATTAAGCACTTAATCTAAGGATGCAGCAAATTGCTTTATTTATAATGAGTATTGTATCAATGTTGTTGAATAATAAATCTCACCTGTATTTAGAAGTATTTTTAAATCGACATTTTTGAGAGTTTTGTTGTGTTTTCCTTGAAATTAATAGGGAAAAGTAAGTGGATTCTTACATAGGCCAGCTCTCGCAAATTTAGGCTGATGGAAATGAACATTGGCACAAATATTATGAAGAAACCATAATTGCTTGAAACATGTTTAGACACCGGGAGTCACAGACATGATTTCAGAATCAGGACACATTGGGGCAATGACACTCTGGGTCCCGGGTCACGGGGACTGACCCTCTTTGCATATCTGAGTGTTCTGTGTTTTGTCATTTACAGGAAGCTCTTATTTCTTTACCATGAAAATTCCATTACGTTTGACACACATCATCTTGATTGTGTTTGTTTTGCTTGTGGACATTTTGCTCATTGAAAATGTGTTATTCGTAAGGATATATTTTATATTCGTGGAAGAGCAACTGCATCGGGTCTCAGAAAAATCTTTTTATTTGGACAGAGATTAGTGGATTTCCCAGGGCGATGTGCTTTCTGCACGCTCGTGGGCTCGTTACTCAGGAGATGGGAGCAGGTGGGGTGAGGCTGGAGGTCCTGTCTTCACGCCTCCCCCCGGCCCCCGGGGCCCCTTCAAGGAGTAGACAGTGGACGCTGTGTTGCTACAGTAGAATGGACCGCACCGGGCGCGGGCCGAGAGTGCCGACCGTCGCTTCGCCACGATGCATCGCCTCGCCACGATGCGTCACCAACCCCAGCGGAGACGGCAAGTTTGTCTGACCGTCATCGACCTCCAGTCACTGACGACAGAGGGATTCGCTTTAAATGTCAAGCTTTCGCTCTCATCTCTGAGCCTCGGCGGGATTTTACACCAGGAAGGATTTTACACTGGCGGGAAGGTGTCACCAGTTCTTCCTGGAAGACACGGGAACCGTACGGGGCATCCTGATTTTAAATGTTGACGCATGAAAAAATGCACCCGCGATGAATAAAAATGGCAGCTAAATTGTATTAATTCCTTCTCCAGTAATCCTTATTTTGTACTAAGTGAAGAATACGACATTGAGGTCAGCCTCAAAGCGAGGTGTGAAACCAGGACATGTGACACGAATCTCCAGCTGACGAAACAATCTATCCAGAAGTGTTCTCTGTCCCAGGTTTTACTCTCCTCCAGAATTAAATAAGGAGATACAGAAAAACCCATTGTAAGCCAACTTTGGTTTCTCTGTTAAAACAGAAGTTACCCATTTTAAACATAACAACGGAACGGTTTTCTCTCCAGCACCTGCTGGGTGTCAGGCCCTGGGAGGCCTGGGGACAGAAAGGGTTATAAGGCAAGGTCCCTGTCCTCAGGCACTTTGCAGTGTGGTGGGGAGAGAGGAGTGAGTCCGTGGGGAGTCTGCACTGGGGAGGAGCTCAGACCTGCCCTGGGGAGGAGGAGGACCAGGGCCAGGAAGCCTCTCTCCCGTGGGGAGGAGCTCAGACCCTCCTGGACCGCGAGGGCAGGAGGCTGGAAGGGGTGTTCCAGGCACAGGGAGAGCTTGGTTTCGGTTGTCGTCTGTCCCACAGAGGAAGCTGTGAATGTTTACTCCAGTTCCTGTTTTCCTGACTCCCCAACAACCCCGAAGATTGTTTTATCCTCCATGTTGTCAACATGCTAGAAAACAGCATCTTTGCCCTGTTTTGCTGTGCAGCTCTTCGATCGCTAGTGACTGGAGCAAACACACTCCTCACTGTCGACAGGTACTTGATGAGCCTGTCGGATCTCAGTGCGGAAACACCAGGTCAGTTCATTGACCCGCTGGTGACAGTAGCTTCCACTGGTAAAGGTGGAGACGAGCCTCTCCTCTCCTCCATGTTACGGGTGTTAATTATCAACGCCTCTTATATGTATAACATTGGCCCTCAGGTACTTGAGGAACAAGACTGCAAGTGTTGCTTAGGGGGATCGCACCCATTCCCCTGCTCCTGCCTGCCCAGTGGTGGACTGGAGACCCGCACTTGTTTGGGGTGGAGGTTTCCAGACGGGCCTGGGGGACGGGGATGGGGAGCAGGGCACCTGCTGCTGTGGGTCCGGAGGGCTGGCCTTTGCCTCCCCAAGGCCACCGAGGGCCCCGCCGCCTGGGCCTCTCCTTCTCTCCCACCTGCGGGCTGCCCGCACGTGCTTGTCCCTACCTGGGAACCCGTCTCGGTCTGAGTCAGACCCTCCATTGATGGGATAATACTTTATGGCTTCCTCACGAGAAGACTCATATTAGTCAAGATGGTTTTTGTTGCAAGTGGCAAACCCCACCCAAAGCCCCAAGATCTGGCAGGGAGGGGGCGAGTCAGAGACCAGACGTCCTGGCTCGGGGGGATGCCCACTGGTTTCACAAAGGGCCTCTCTCTCCCTGCACCCCCGCCCTGCAGGCGTGCTGGCCCCCCTGGCCCAGGGGGAGCATAGTGCTGGTCCCCAGGAGCTTCTGCACAGATGGTACTGGACCTTGGGGCCGTGTGCCCACTCTCGAGCCTCCCAGAGAAGTGCCAGAGCAAGGGAGGGGAGTCCCTCGAGGAGGGGAGCTGGGAAGCGGGGCAGGTCGAACACACCCGCTGTAAGACAAGGCTCGGGGACAAAGCCCGGGCAGAATCTCAGCAGCTGGGTGCCAACGCCAAGGCAGCAGAAGGGAGGATGGTCACCTTTGTTCCCAGAGTTTCCATTTTTATTTAACAGACGCTCCTAGAACAGTTCCTATGTGCCAAGTATGCTCAGAGCACTTACAGATACTAAGTTTCCTAACCCTTGTTACAACCACAACATGCAACCATGCAGTATCAGTATTTCCTCTCTTTTATAGAGAAAGAAACAAGCACAGTGAGGTTAAGTGACTTGTCCAAGGTCACACAGCTAATAAATAAGAGCCAAGCCAGAGCATACTCCCAACCGGTCTGCCCCAGAACACACAGCTTTAGCAACGGCCTGCCCTGCTCTTCAGAAGAAGAGTGCACAACAGGAAGAATACCTACCGCTTGGTCCTAGCTGGAGACTCGGGACGAGGGAGGCCTGGAAGAAGTGCTGCAGAGAAGGATGCAGGCCAGAGAGAGGCTGCGGGGAGCGGCAGGCCTCCCCGGGCAGCGTCTGGGAACGTCCCCTTGTGCGTGTGGCCCGGGAGCTCTCGCGGTGCTGGTCATAACGGAGGAAAACACCAACCCGGTTGATGGCCAGGGACAGGAGCCTGGTGGCGCTCGTGGGAGTAACTGAGGTGCGGGGCGCGCGCTCTGGCCATGACGGCACATCGGATGGCGCTGTGTGGGCCGCGTGAAGCCACTGCCAGGGCTCCTGGTTACCAGACCAAAGCAAGACGCAGAGCAGTGTGCGGAGCAAGGCCTCACGGGGGTGCTGGGCCGGTGCGGACACGCCGAGGGGCGCGGGGATGCCGAGGGAGGGCTGCAGGCAGGCCTTTACGCTTTCGGGTGGGCCTTTTGCAGTTGCATTCCCCGTCACACTAATGAGGTAAAATTGATTCAACAAACAGGAAGAAACTAAACCATATCTACTCTGTGCCCTTAAAATTTAAACTTAAAAGGAATGTGCACCCTGGTGCTGCTGGTAGGGCTCCATCAGAGAGCAGGGGGGAGGCCAGGGGGCAGCCCAGCCCAGCACGTGGCACCCAACCCCTCCTCTGTGGACTTGGGGCACCGCGTGGACATCGGCATCGATTTCTGCCCCCGAAAGGGCCCATTCTCGTACCAGGGCTGCCCTGCCTGGCTTCCAGGCGGCCAAGGTTGGAATTCAAGGAAGGCAGGTTCGGTGTCAGCTCCTTCCCATGCATCCATCCACCTGCAACCCAAACAGGGACAGGGCGGGCGGGCATGCTCCTGGAACACATGCATGACGATTAGCTGACGTGTTTTATCCCAGGTGCTACTCAGTTTCTTTTGAATGAAAATATATCCACTGGCACAAGAAAATGCTTTCGAGCCCAGGCAGAAAAAAAGAGGCAGGAATTCAGAATCCTCTGCAGAAAACCCACCCTGAACCCAGAGACTCTCACAGCTGGACGATGAGCAGGGAAATGTGATTATCTGCCGCAAAATTTATAAGAAGAAAAATGTATTACAACCATCTCGTTGATAAAGCAAGCACTGCATCTTAAGAGGGGGTCTTGTTCTGTTTTGTTTCCAGGACGGAGAAGCCAGCGCAGGAGAGTCTGACAAGAAGAGGGACGTCCGCCAGCTCTCCCGGGAGGCCTCGGAGGACAACGAGGTGTTCGGTATGTGACCGGGAAACTAGAGGACGGGGCTCCATATGCGCAGATACACGCATTTGGGGAAGGTTTTAAGTTTTTAATCACATGAGTAATCTATGACTCTGTTCTCAGTATTGAAAATGCAGAGGCGGCAGGAATGTGGGGTGAGTCCCCTTGGTCAGCCTCCCGCCGTCCGTCCTCCCTGACGTGACCACACGGGTGGCCGGCGGCAGCTGCCCCGTCTCGTTCTTGTTCTTGTACTCTGTGCCGTCCTGCTTGCAGGCTCCAGAGACTTCCCAGGTGCAGCCCTGCCGTGCGATATTTCTCTACTTATCTATTTGACCATTGTGGGTGGAAAACCTAATACACCTATAAAACAGAACCAACAGGGAAGTGGGACTGTCCCAAAGCCCAGATATTTCAACCACAAAGAATGACTCAGGAGGTGTTGAAAAATAACCGTTTTCTATAAAACTTTACTTTTTTTGTGGAGCCCACTGACAAACACGACTTCCCTGCGTTTCTGCGCCCCCCCAAGAGAATGAATGAACGAGTTCTCATTTGATTTTAACATTAAAAAGATCACCTTTCCCATGTGACCACGATGCTCTGTGACTTGCCCATGATCACGCGGCTGAGCAAGACGTGACGAAGATCTGTCCGCATGCCCTGCTCTGTTCTCTCCTCCAAGAATTCCCAGAGACGCGGGAACGATGGGGTAGCATGAAGCGTGCCCAGACCCTGAGGGCTCACTGGCGTGTCAGAGGGAAAGGGAGCAGTTTTCTGGCTACTGAAGTGAGTGTTCCTTGGACGGTGTCGTGTGCCTGCAGGTTATGATGCTCACGGCAGACAGGCCTCCTCCCACGCTCCCTGGCCCGGCCGCGGCTTACTTACAGAACGGGTTTCTTAGTACTTTCGCTTCTCCGGCAGGAAAAGCCACCCCAGTGTCTTGTTCCTGATTTGCTTGCTCTTTTTCAAAAGTCCCTTCTGTTTCTGTGATTCCGTCCTGAGTAAACACCCGTAATGACAGAAGTACTGGTGCCCAGTGTCTCAGTATCTTAAACTGTCATGAAAATCAGCATAACCCAGAGGTGCAGAGACTGAAAACAATGCAGATCAGTTTAATGGAAGCCAGCGGGGTCAGTGCGAGTAGGAATCGGCACTCGCCGGGGTACACCTGCTGCAGGCTGATTTTCCTGGGAACTGGGTGGGGAGGGGTTTGCTGGAGCATCGTCCGCTGCCTCCCCGTAGCGGGGCCTCCATTCCTCAGGGGCAGAGGGACCAGAGGGGAGAAGAGACCAGCACCGAGGGTAGGCGCTGCCGCAGGCGTTCTGAATGCAGAGGGAAGGCACTCTGCAGATTTGAATTGAGCGACGCATCTGAGCATCGATGATTTCGAGAATAAATCCGTCTGTGAACCTCTAAAATAAAGGTTTCTCTGGACTACCTCTCTGCTCCCATATTCCAACTCCATATGTATATTAAACACATAAAAGAAGACGGCAGAATAAAAATGTCCAATTTTAGGTTTCCTATATGACAAGAGTACCTTTTAGAAGGATTTTGGCTAAGCTTACTTATTTTTTAAAGCAAATATCATCTTTCTCATTATTCCCCCGGTTACGTGCTTTCAGGATAGTTCACAACAGTATCCGTCATCCCGTTCCTTTTGGACACACACACATCACACGTGTGCATACGATACGTGTAACTTGGGAAGAGTCTATGACACGTGTTTCCTAAGTCGGCAGAAGCGTCGTGTGGCTTCTGAAGCTCTTTCGAAGGCAGCCTCGTCAGCTCTCGCACGTAGATGCTCAGCCTGGATGGAGACTGAGCTTTGTACAGTTGGCCATGCACCAAATCCATCCTGGCACAAACTTAGATTTGTCTTCTGGTGGGAAGAATAGCGCCGCAAGCAGGTGCTGCTGGGGTAGTTTACCGCGACTTCCCCAGGCTGGAGCACTGGGCACACTCACACGGTGCTGGGCATGCAGCCCTCAACGTGGTCAGGAAACAAGCCCTAATCATCGCCTTCACGACACGGGCAGCTGGCCCCGGGTCCAGGCTGAGTCACAGCAGAGGGGAGGTGTGAGGAGCATGCCATCTGACGGCATCTGACCTTGAGTGAGGGCGGCCCGGGGGGCCTCACAGCTCCCGTGGTTCTGGCCTCAGCAGGCCTGACTAATACAGACCGGGAGTTCCTGCAGAGCTGCCGCGCATCTGCTTTTGAATTTACGATAATCTCCCACTCCTGATGCTTTCCTGGAATCCAGAGAAACCCCGGTCTAAAGGGGCAGAGTGACGAGGGGAAAAGAAGCTAAGCAGATCTTGGCTGTCAATCTTGACTGCATAATCTTGGAAAATATACCTGAGCACTCTTTTTAAATTATGGAATGTTGTACAAATGTCACTCCAAATGAAATCAGCAGCTGCCTCCCACTTTTCCTGACTAGACAGAAGTTCCCCGAGTACCATAAAAAAATCCCATGCTTTCTTGATGTTCTGTGAACCCTGAGTCATCGGCACCCATGTAGCGATACTCTTCAAGCTCCTGGTAATCATGTTGTCCGCGTGTCAGACGAATGGCCCTTGTCCTCTACCTGACGCATTTCTGCAGGATCTAGTCCTCAAGGTCTCTGTGGATGTCAGGAAAGACTGTTGTCCTTCAGCTGGTTGGAGTCCTGGCTTAGCCACAGAATTAGAGGGGCTCAGAGAGGTCACAGCCAGGGGCAGACTGTGGCAGGTGCCCCGAGCTGCTGGCTCACACGCGTCTTGCTCAGAATCACAGAGTGCGCGGCTACCACCAACCGGTGTCCCCCGTACCTCCGTGAAGGCTGGAACCGATCATGTACTGAGCAGCGCACTGAGGCCTTGTATTTACTTTTTCATTTCATGGGAAAACCCCGTGAAGGATTGTTCTTGATCTAAGCGAATCACTCATTAGAAATGCACAGTTCTAAATCTCTTCCTGTCATGCTTTTTCTGACAGTGTGTGGTTGTACTTAGGACTGTTTGCCTGGTTACCCAAAGAGGAAGAAAACACGGTAGCCTAGAGAACCACATGTTGTCTGAGCTTTGGGGAACCAGGTCATTTTGTGGTCGGCTAGTTATTGAGCTTTTTTTTTTTTTTTTTTGCACCGTGCATCCACACATCTGTTGTACACGATCTTCGTCATTTGAAAAGCAGTCAGCAAGAAATGCAGAACAGTCACCCCCACCCCTCCCTCCAGAGTCCACTAGCCATAAAGCCAGGGCAGGTGAGGCAGCCGAGGTGAGCAGAAGCCTGGGGTCTGCCTAAATTATAGTGACAAAGGAGTGAAATCCCCCAAAAGAGGGCACCCCTGCTCTTTCCAGACAAGTGTGGCTTCTTCCAGACCAGACTCACATCTCCGAAGTCAGAGCAAAAGGGATAAGTACCCAGCACATCAGGTGAGCTCGAGCACAGCTTTGCAGGATCCCAGGTTCGTGAGAATATCGTCTCCCTGCCTCGGTGCATAACGGCGCCCATGGCTAAGTGAGGGACGCACTGCACGTAGGGACAGACTCCTATGGAGCATCACGGGGAAAACCTTCACCAGCTCAGTGCTCAAATAATGGAGATAGAATTATCTATGTTTAGTATTCAGCAAGAAAGTACTCATATTGGAAACACTGAAGTTCATACAAAGATGATCTATTAAGTATAAATATGTGTGTATATGTGTGTCTTTATTTCACAAAGTTTGAGTTAGCTCACAGTAAGAAAACACACAAACAATAAAATAAAGAAAACATAAAGTCAAGGTCAAGTCAAGTAAGACCACGCATGTGAACCATATGGCACCTGCTAGTAGTTGAACACCTCATTGAACCTGCCCCAGGAAGACGAGACCCAGTCCGTTTATTTCTCATTTTATGTGGGAGGTAATGCAGCTGCACCACGTTAGCTGTCATTTCTGCCCGTGCACGCATCTTCTTGTGTCTTGGTTCCCTCCCAGGTAAGCAGGGGAGATAAGAGAACCCCCCAGAGTGAACGAGCAAGCTCACAAACGTGCACCTGTAGGGCGCCCCTGTCCCCCGCGGGGACCGACAGAAGGGGGCCTGTGTGCATTCCTCAAAGGAAGCCCAGCTGTGTTTAGCCAGTTGTAAGAACTTTTCTCCTGTTTCAGTTTGTATCACAGATGATCGCGTGGTAGTCAACAACCACAGCGTACTTTCGTGGTAGCTGTGCTGATGAGTTTCACAGGCGAAGTGTAATAACTGGATAATGAGTTTCCTCACACCCCGGCGCTCTGTTTGAGGCACGTGTCCCGCTTTTGGCCTCGCCTTGGCGGTGTCCCGCGTGGCTCGTGCACTCCCCTCCTCTAGGGACTGTGGGGGACGCCCCTCTGGATGGGGAGGACCTGTCAGAACGTGTGCAGCTGGGGGTCATGCTCTACCACATCTGGGAAATGCTCTCTCCCACAGACAGATACATCCCCTGAGAAGTTTCACACAGCACTGAAAAAAAAATCATTCCTTTTTTTGTTTCCAAGACCCTTCCATGAGAAGATCTTTTTAGTAGTATTTGTATTTGATCAACCCTGATTACTGGACAAAGCTACAAAACTAGTAAGAAACCGTCATGATGATACAAAATTCTGTCTCAACTCAGTAATAACTGAAGGCCAGGAATCCACCCTGTGCTTTCCTATGGACCCCTCGTTAACTGTCCCTCCAAGCGCCCTCCAAGAATGGTTATCGGCAGCCTGCTCTTGAGAATCGTGGATGCTGGCTTTAATTTATTGCTAATGATGGTTTGATTGCTGCCTGAGCCTGTTATCCGTATCTAGGCGAGCGACAGAACCAATCCTGAGCGTGTCTTTGGGGCAGATATAAATCATAGAGTCACAGCCACCCGCTGAGAACTTGAAGGAACGCTCGACGTCATCTGGTCTGACTCCCATCCTAGAGATGAGCATCTGCAGGCCAGGAGAGGCCCACAGGCCACAGGGACAAGCTCCTGCTCTTGGCCCTGCCCTGAGCGCCCCAGGACACATCCGCTT